CGCTCTGCACAGAAGACTCGCTGACAGCCCATACATTTGATGCATCCATGTAGGGAAGAGGGCAATGCATACCAAACCTTGCACATAAATCCATTTGGATGAGAGCGAAGAAATAAAAACGCCTAAGAAACAAAGGCCTTATGTGGTCATATTAGCATGACCTATTATAGTGAATATGATATGATATATGATGCTCAGTGATTATCTTCTAATTATAGCAGAGCACTGTTCATTTTACTTTTGCACATTTCAGTTTGTGCTTTGCCTGTATGAAGAGTTTCATTCACAGCAAATTACATCAACAGCCACAACATTGAAAGCCCCCTCTAATATTATGTAGATCTCTATTGTGCCACCAAAACAACTCTGACCCATTGAGGCTTGACCTTGCTTTAAGTTCTGTAAGATGGGAGGTCAAACCTACGTGGACTAAACTTGTTTTTCCAGCACATTCCATAGATATCTAATAGTTTGTTTCCTTTGTTTCCTTGTTTACTGCTTTTTTCTTAATTGATATATGCTAATGTCTTTGTTGGTGTTGTGCTGTTGCAAGAACAACAATTTCCCTGAGGTACCCTACCAAAGGGATTAATAAAGTTCTATCTAATCTAATATAAGATAGTTAATCATATTAAGATCTGGGGAATTTGGAGACCAACCCAACAACTTCCATTTCCGTTTGTCATGTTCCTCAAACCGTTCTTGAACAATTTTTACAGTGGGGCAGGAAATACTGTTGCCATAAAGGGGTTTACAACAATGTTTAGGGAAGTAGTATGTGTCACATGAATGGCAGGACCCAAGGTTTTCCAGCAGAACTTTGTCCAGCTCGCTACCTCCACTGGTTGACTTTGTTGCCATAGTGCCTCCACCTTCTTCCATCGTACCACGGTCTATCTTTGGTGCACATTGTTGGCAACTGCACTACACTATGTGTTCTGACACTTTTCTATCGTAGTTAGCGTGAAAGTTTTCAGTAAATTGTGCCTCAGTAGTTCTTCTGTGGGATTGGGCCAGCCATCACTCCCCACACACATCAGTGAGACTTGTGCGTCCATGACCTTGTCGCTGGCTTTTCCTTCCTGGGACAAACCAGCAACTTTGTTAACGTTGCTCACATCCAGCACATCATCTTTAAGAACTGCCTGAAATATCCCACCAACTGACAGACGCCACCGTAATGACATAATTGGTGTTATTCACCTCACCTGTCTACTTTTAATGTTCCGACGGATGAGTGTATAACATGACATTGATGGCACTGAGCATCAATTTTTTATATTTGATATGTAATTTTGCATACATTTGACATCGCGGTAAATCTTTTGGTAGCTATAGGAGCAGGGACAACAGTGTTCAGAGCTAAATGCTAATATTCACGTGCTGAACTAAACAATGACAATGCAAATGTGCTGATGTTAACTAAGTTTAATGTTAACCCATGCTTTATGTGTTCACCATGTCCACAATCTTAGTTTACTTTGTCATAATGCTAACATTTGCGCAATGTTAATGTTAATTAAACACAAAGTATAACTGAGGCTGATGTGAAATGAATGAGTTATTCTAACCAGGGATTACACAAAATAATATCTGACCTGATGATTGCACAACATGAAAATCAAAGGAATCATCAAAAACATAAATCCAAAGCTAATAAAATCCTGTCAAATCAAATTTCATTGAAATCCACTCAGTACTTGGAGACGTTTCACAGAAAAGCACAAATGTTAATGTCAAAGTGCTGTTGCTTTTGTTCCAACCCATTCATGTTGGGATGTTTCACCTCTGTATAAACACAGATATCAACCTGCTGTTGGCACTAGAGGTTGTGTTTGCAAACTCAGTTTTAAAGAAGGATTTCGGTTCATTTCAATCGGCTGTATTTAACATTAATGGGACTTCTTTGACTCGAAGTGTCTAACTTTGTGCTCTCCACCTCACACATTGTTTTGTGTGAAAAATCACACAAAAAACGACGTGTGAATGAGCTCCCGGCAGCTTTTCAGATATATTTTACATGGATCATTTTAAAGAATTTGTTGCCATGTCTAACCAACATAAAGATAGAAATAAATCTTCTGGAATGGCCATTTTGCTAAGTGCATCAGGATCGCCATCCAGGATACCTGCCAGCTGACCTAACCACCGATGTATTCTTCCCTGCTTGCAATATGTGTACACTGTCACAATGAAGCAATAATTTACTCTGACATTGTTAGCACAGCCATTGTGACTATCTGTCTTTGCAGTGACTCATTGCTTCATTGTAAATAGATATTGTATATCTCATGTTGCTGTGATTGAATAATTCCCTGTCAAAAGCAGGTGATCTGTGCTCTCTGACTCACTGTTGCACACAGTGTCAGGTGACAGTAAAGATTATCTGTTCACACTGAACAGACACTGTCAGTCATTATTATTACCCACATGACGCAGACATTAAAAGGCACCGAGGGTTGAGGGCTGGGTGATCAAATAGATTTATCTCAGCCAGGGAGTCTCACTGGCAGCCTACAATGCTGAATTACTGCACAAAAGCTGGTATAAGAACAAAGTAGGACGGCGGGAACAGCGCAGTGTAGTAGCAACACAGCGCAGTCAAAAAATAGCCCTGAATGTGAGAAATGAGATGGAAAAGAAGAGAACGTTGTGGCGTTTAGATGTGATAATTATGCGAGGATGCCAGGGACATGAAGATGAGTGTTGCTGGCTCCCATCTGTGCCCTCTCAGTGCCAGCCCTCCACAGACAGCCACTGTCACAGAGCAGAAACCAACAGCAGGTCTTAAAGGACTACACCAGGGGTTTTGCATGTTTAAACCCATTTTCTACAAGTCGATAAAACTTCCTATACTTTTTCAGGACTTTTAAGTGTGTTAATCCTGCCTTCCAGACCACTACTCATTTCCAATTTTAGTGTAGTATGAAAATAAAATGGCAGAGACTTAAAACTTGCTTGAGTTGGATCATCTGTCACAGTGAAGATTATTTTTGTTTTTATTTGTGTTAATGTGTCATTGCTTGCTCTATTCTGCAGGATGATTTTTACACTGTTCAGATGGAACCCTTAGGGCATGATGTCACCTGCTTTCTGAAGCGTATTTCATTGTTGTCCTGCCTAAAATCTGCACCTCGTTTCTCACAGCAGGACACCATCATTATTGACAGCTGATTTTTACCCATGGCTGCCTGAAAGTTAGGAAGTGTGTACTCAGGCAGCTGCACTATTATGGCAAACTCTAGAAAATTGTGGGCAGCAATGTAAAGCATACCGACAAAAATTGACAAAAAACCACTGGTGTGGTCCTTTAACAACAGCTCCCACTCTCCATCTGTGTCTGTCAGACAGACAACAAACTGTCTGCAAGCAGATGTGAGTGGGAGATTCTCTGTCAGATCCTCTTCTGACTGACAGCTCGCGCTGTGATTGTTCTTGTGCCTCGCTCACATCTGCATGCAGACATGTGGGCACATTAAGAGACATAATGTTGGCAGAGAGGCCTTTAAGTGAAGGAGATCAAACCTCCTTGTCAGCTTGTGTTTGCTCTCTTCAAGTGTCATTAGGCAAGACAAACAATCCCTGCCAGCTCCAGGAGAGCTGTTCACTAGCTGAATCTACAAATATTACAATATTGTTGATCAAATAGCGGGATTAATATTGTGATAATGGCTGCACTTTGTGTAATTTACCAGTGTTTCCTTCCTTCCAAAATATTTGCTGGTAAGAGAACAATTACGTGTGGTTGGGACAGCTTGTTTATTGATACCTACAAACTCCCTTTCATGTTTATCATAGTGCGACTTTGATAAATATAAAATCAATTTAATGTTTTTTGCCTGTAGCGTAGTGAAAGATTAAGTGCCGATTTCTGGCGCTCTCCACAAACATTGGTTTCAGCACAGACACAGTTTGACCTACCACATATGTGACCTGGCTGCCCGATATCTGGAGTAAGATGCTCAACAGAGCTGGCAGCCTTCTGTCCAGAAACACTTCAGATGGAGTGAAGGTGCAACGTCTCCACAAGTTTAAATCAAATGGCTTCTATTTTTACTTCCACACGTGCTGATGCAGCATTTTCTGCACAAAACAACATACTGATTACATCATGCTAATCTTTCTCTTTCTTTGCATCTCTTCATTATTATTATTATTAACAATAATAATAATAATAATAATAATTTGAAGTAAAGACCCTCGGATTTTTACATTAGTAAGAACACATTGGATATCTGTGCATGCCTGCTCATAAAACCCAGATAATCTTTGTAGGAAGACTATGATTGTAATACATTCTTTATAGGCAGGAAAGACAACATTAAGCTATGTCTCAATGTCACAGTGCCCACAAAAAAATAGAATGTCAAGCCCTCATGCTGTATTGGCAGGATTATGTTGATATTACCAATGTTACATCAGTATTATGTCAACCAGCAAAGAAAATTAGATTTTATGTGCATCCATTTCAGGACATCTCTGCTCAGGTCAGTTGCATCTTCTATGATGTCCCTTCACTTTCTCTCCACAGAGCGAATCAAAAGAACCTATTGTTTTTTCACTCCACTATCTATTAAATCGACCGCTTCTATGAAATAAAAAATGCTGAAAGGGTTGACACCGAGCAGCAAGCACACAGATTGTCTTATTTAGAGTGTGTTATTTTAAACATGCTTTACAGGACATGCAATTTATCTCCTTGTGCACAACAAATTCGATTTTTTTATTTAATGAATTGAGCTCTATTTGTTATAGATGAGTATATTTCTCTGTCAGACTCAAGAGAAATGTGCTCCTGTGTAACACAGTAGAGCAGCATATAAAATGGACAAAATGGTCACATTGTTCCTCCAACAGAGGGCGTTACCTTGCTGTGATAGCTGCTTAAATAAGCAGGATTCTTTTTTGCCTTTGTGAGGTGACTCACTGAAAGGTTTCATGGGGGTTTGTAGATATTTAATGTATATCCACTCTTTCTCTCTCTGTCTCTGTCCCTTCAGAGGCCTCCAGAGAAATGTCGCTACGTGGTGGGCAGCATCCTGTGCGAGGGTGAAGAGAAGCCAGATGAAGAACTGCAGAAGCTGTATGAGAAATTTGGCTTCAAGCTGTTTTCTCTGCCAGAAGTGAGCCACACTGTGACCACCAGCTTCCCCTGCACCACGCCTCTGTCCCACGTGCTGGGACCTTACCGGGTCTACCCCAGACTCTCTTCCTACATAGAGGTACAGACACATATGAGACGATGTGGGCAGAATGTGAAAATATATTATATATATATATTTTATATATATTGGAGTAATTCTAAGCCTCTTTAGCCACAGGGCATGTTGAACCTCTGAGCCTCAAGCAGTTTTTTTGCTCCTGTCACCTTTTTATTCACTGTGGGCTAATTTCTAAAGTCTAAAGTCCTGCACCTGTATAGGAACCATGGCTAGATGTAGAAAGAGTTAACAATGCCTTTTGTGCAGTAAACCAGAGTTATAAAGCCATAAACCTGAAAAAAGAAACACAAAACAATAGTTCTTTATTATACAAACATTAAAAAAAACCTAGAATCAACACACATTTTTGAAATATCACAATTTTAGATTTGTTTATGTTTTCTAACAGAACAGCGTGTCACACATAATTACTTCATAGACCATCGGGAAACTAAAAATGTCTTTCTGTTTTTTTTTCCTTTTTTTTGTTTTTTTACATTTTCTGACTAAGATGAGTGATGTAATTTGGATGATTATTTTTTTAAAAAGATTACATGCTTCTCAAACCCGCGACAGGTTTTGGGACTCAGAAGGTTAAGCTAGCGAAGCTGGCGAATCTTGTTTTATCTCTTATTGGGGAAAAAAAAGATCCCAGAAAAATACAGCTGTAGAGGTTTGAACCGTGTGCATGTCATGTGTTTACAGGAAGCCTGCAGTTGGAATTTTTGTATGTTAATTACTTGCTTCACACCTCTCTCCCACATAGACAAGTGTATGTCACCAAATGGAAGAAGTGAGATAGGAGCTATTTTTTCCTTCTTTTTATCCTCACTGCAGTTGTTGTCAATCACCATGCAATCATATCTGTCCTCTTTTCTGCCTCCTGCTTGTCAAAAGCCCTTCACTCATGTGTTGTTTAATTCATCACATGAACAGATGAGGTCTTTAAAGTAGATTAAGAATAGATGAAGTAGTAGGAAATGAAGGTACGGCTGAGTCCCGCGGCCCATATGCTGGGCTCCATGTCCTCGGGACAGGCCTGAAAAAGCTATTGACATTTACTGATGACATTTGCACACATGGATTCATTTAGGGGCATCCCGCTGCATGAATAATGCTCCACGTGTGTTTGTGTGTGGGTGTGTGAGAACGTGCATGCTTCCAGGTTTGTTCATCTGTTTGCTTAAGATTTTGTCCTTTTACAGGAACTCAAAAGAGCCTCAATTAAAAAAAAAATCATAAAATATGTAATTATATCGAGAAAACGTGATGCATTTTTCGCACATTTATCTGTTGTTAATGGAACAAACTTCACAGAAAACTCAGTGGTAGCCTGCTTTAATTCTGTAAACCTATTATTTTTTTTATCAGTAAACTGCAGTTTTTTTGAATTGCCTACACAAAACTATTAGAGTATCAGCGTACAAAAGCAGTGTGAATGGTGCCATAGAAGTGGTGCTTTGCTGCATTCAGTCCTTCATCTGTTGTTGTGTTCCGTTGAGCGCAGGAAAGTGGATGCACAGACCCAGCCGATGACAATGTCCTCTGGTTGTGTCTAGTTCTGCCAGCATATTGCAGCTACTGTATATCAGATGCATGCCTAAGATAGCCTGTGTATTGCAGGCACAACATTTCTAAAAAGTACCACTGGGTTGTATTGTTGTCTTTCATCTAGAGTTTTCTTTACTAGCTGGTTTGGATTTTTTGTACAGACACAGTTTGGAGCTTATAATGTATTCATTTGGACAAAAAACACTGTAGCTCTACAGTATATGATGCAGAATAAACTCAGACGTGAACATCTACTCTGTCAGCACCAACATGTGTCTCCTCTGATACATACAGTATAGTCACCAGCTGCTTCTTTTCACCTGGCCTGGGGGTGGTACTCCCAGATATCCTCCCCTCGTCACCCAGGCAGCTCAACCAGCTGGTAGGAGTTGTACGAGCAATGACAAAGAAATGATCTCCCCTGAGCTGGAAGCTCTGCCAGAAACAGAACCAGGGTCGCTGTGAAACAGTTACTCTAAAGTCACAAAGGCAAAGCTCTGATATGTGATGTTTGGCTTGTAGTTAGAAGTTTTCCCACCAAAGCTGATTGGGAGCCTGACTTTAGGCATTCTTAGACTGTACATGTTCAGATCTACAGATCCTAATCTTCAAAGAGCCCCTGTCTGGTCAGCTTATGATCATTTACTAGCTTCCTCTTTTTTTTTTTTGTTTGGTCTCTGCGGCACTATACATACTGTAACACACCACATCAGAGAGGGCAGGACGAATTCTAAAATGTGCAGTGACACAGACTAAATGGTCTGAAGGCAAAGCCTGAGCATCCCTCAGTGTTAAAATTTAGTGGTATTCCCTTTTTAGGCTGTAGTGCTGTTATATAATGATGGCTAGTGTCAGTGTACATTTTTGTGAGGATGCAGCTCTTGTCTTTCACACTAGCTGATGTCTCCACAGAGAAAGCATCTGTTTTTACTCTCTCACAAGTTGTCCACCATGAGACAACAGTGCGTAGTCCATCATTTGACCCGAGTGCTGTGACAGGTTGTTTAGGAGATGCTCCTGTACTTGAGATGTGCTAATAACACACTAACATCCAGTTTGAATGGAATGGCAAATGCACTGTGCATACACCATGCTAAAGCGAGGCAAATGAATAATGGAGTGTGGTTTAGAAAGGCTTGGTTTAGGGGACGGTATGCGAATGTGCTAGAAATGTGTGCATACTGTATGTATGATTAATTGAGTAGATTTGTAGTCTGAGGGACTTTGAAAGGAGGACGGTGCTTGTGTGACATAGCTTTTTACAATCAGTATATGCAGCAGATTTTATTACGACTGAATGTTTGTGCTTGTCTACGAACACAGCATCGCAATGGAGCTTAAATTTGCATTCGTTGATATTGTGTTGCCCCTAGAAAGCACTGCAACACACTGTAGCCACAACATAGACATATTATCTTCAGCAGCTGAAGACAGACACAGAGGAGCATTAGCATTTGTTTGAATTCATATGTCCACTATTGATTCATCTTCTGATGTAAATGTCTAACTCTTTAGTTCACAAATGCTCCACTTTGCTTACCAGCTAGTTGCTAACTTTGTGGTCAGTGAAGCACTGGGCAGGCAGCATTTACCTGAGCTTTTGCACAAATGCAGCTTAAAACAAGGCTAATGAGGATGAACCAAAGCAGGAAGTTCCATCCATATTTAAATCAGTGATATCTGCTTTATCGTGTTGAGGAACAGGCCTATTGCACCCTGTCAAGTGGAATACTTGACGAGTTGCCATTCCATCACAGGGCTAAACCAATCCCAAGGAGACAGACAACATGCATGAAGGCAGGGAGAACATGCAAACTCCATGGAGAAATGCTCCAGCAAGCTCACAGGTGTGAACCTGCTTGTTGCAAGGCACCCACAGGATCTGTCACTTCAAAGCTTCCCATTCATCGCATATATGAGCAGCACTGCAAAGGAATGTGGTAGCTTTATGTTGCGGGGTGTCATGTTGCCTGCTCCATATTTGCATAAAGTTGAGGTCTAGGCTACTTTATGCAAATGAGAGGCATCTAGTGTGATCCTACGCCTCTGTTAAATATCAGAAAAACTTGAAAACTAACTGTTATCAATCTATAATAAACGCAGAACTGTTTTTGTAATCAAAGAGAAAGTTCCTAAATAGACTGCCATGTTGGTCCAGTTTTAAGATGTAGCCTCCCAGTGAAGCGTCGTCCAATCAGGCCAAGTGTTTGCACAACTATAGGAGGGTGAAGAGCAATTGCCAATCATCTTTCATACATTGCCGAGTTGTACATCCATCAAACATCCAATTTTAGGAAGTGGTACAATCTCCTGAATCTAAAACGCCTCTGTAGACATGTACCATAAGTTTAAGTTAAGTTCTAGGACTCTAAAGACGTATGAAGTTTCACCTTACTTGTTATCAGCTGTGGTTCAGGTGGTAGAGCGGGTTGTCCTCCAATCGCAAGGTTGGCGGTTTGATCCACCGCCCCTCCACAGTCGAAGTGCCCTTGGGCAACACACTGAACCCGAAGTTGCTCCCAATGGCAGGCAGCACCTTGCATGGCAGCTCTGTCACCACTGGTGTATGAATGTGTGTGTGAATGGGTGAATGAGAAACATATTGTAAAGCGCTTTGGATAAAAGCACTATATAAGTGACCATTTGCCATTTACCAGTATTACCGATTGTTCCTCGAAAATGTGAGTTTGTGCTGCTTTTAGCCCTAAAATCCTCAGTCACATTATGCAAACCAATCCTGCTTTTGAGCCTGGGGTGACCGGACTGGTGAGGGAGCTTTGTTTTCAGCCTTCAGCATTATAGTATTCTCTCACTGACTCTGTTACACCTCCTGACCTCCCATAGAGCTTTTATCAATGAGCAGGTTAAGTGCATAACTGCCCATTTTTCACTTGAACACTTTCTTTCTGGTCTCCAACAGCACCATGTCCGCACTAGCTTACCTTACCTTATCTCTTCTATGCAAAGCACGTAAACTAATACACAGACATGCACATGAAGACATGTAATGGTGGCTTAAAAGATGTGAAGTAGGTGATTGTGTCCCAGTGTGCTTATTTTGGATGTTTTTAATATGGTAATAGTCTAAGAGTACCAGTGAATGTGTAGTATCAGTTGAATGTCTGCAATCTCTGTCATTTTAGTTTCGCTGCTGTGTTTTCATATCAATCCAGTGATTGAAGGGGTATGACCAGAGGACACTTAGGATTGTATCCTCTCTGAGATAAAAAAGACCGTTGGTGAAAGAAGGAAAAAAAATGAGAGGATAAAGAAGTTGCTGTCACACTGTATTAAAGGATTTGGGCAAGCCCTGTCAGATCTTTGTGAAAGCACCTTTTCCGGACCCGAAGAATCAAAGCGAACAATCACTGTGGTGTTATTTTGGTGGCTGGCTCCGACACAATTGTCCCTCTGAGAAGGAACAAGATGAGAAGCTGATAGTTCCCATCCATTTAGTAATCCGTTTATCAGAATCGAGCTGAAAGCATCATAAAAGCGTTTTTTTCCCCCCCTCATTTCCTTCTATACGGTCACGCCACGGTTTTGTTTGCCTTGAAGGAGCTTCAACAATTAAAACATATTACAATGTGATATATATAGAATATCTAGGGTTTGTATCATCTGGGGTATTTGACTATTGTAGTAAGAAATATGTTATATAGGGAGGAGGAGGAGGAGGAGGAATCTGAACCAATGCAGACAAACCAATCAGAAGAAATTGTAGGCAGAACTGGGAAAACTTAACTTTGT